GGTTTGATGGTTACAAAGCAGAAAAGAGGGTTTGCACTGCCGGAATAAATGACAATACGAAACGTAAACGCCACAAGTTCTGAAGGAAGTTTAAGTGATTTCTTCCCCTGGCCTACCTCGTCCGCCTTCTCCTAGCCCCGTTCCTACACCCAACCTACCCCTCTCTCAGGCAGTGTCCTTGTTACATCCCCCCCTCACTACCACTAGACGGGTGGGCATTCTCAGAAAACGTGCTTATTTTATCGTTAAGGGGCATTTCGTGCGACATTTGGCAACATGATGGTTCTAGGGTCTCAAGACCCCGCTGAATCCGAATCCGGATGTTGCCAAGCCGAATTTTGCCTCCTAAGGTCATAAATCCAAGATGGCGGCCAAAATAAGGGCTTAAGTGACGATTTTTCGAAAGTGTATCGATTTTATCCGGAGACGTGTCGTTTCCTACGTTTTCGGGGTCGCTGAACACGAATATAAGCACCGGAAGTCGATTCGGTTACCGGAAGTACCGTAATTCAAGATGGCGGCCAGCCGGGGCCTAAATACGAAACCTATAGAAGTTTGTGCATTGGCAAGTGCGGGGTATCGGCGCATACGTTTTTCGTGTCAACTAATCCGAAAATGAGCTCCATAAATCGATCCGGCAACCGGAAGTGCCGAAATCCAAGATGGCTGCCAGTTAGGGCCTAAATACCGTGCTCGAAAAAGTTGCGGCTTTACGGCGTGCGGGGTATGGCCACATATGTTTTCGCGGTCGCTGAACACGAATATGGGTACAGAATGGTGATTAAAAACGTGTCAACACAGGTTCAATGGAATATAATGCTGAAAACAACAAAAAGTAGGGAGCAGAAGAAGTCACTCTCATGCAAATAGTTTATACGAAAACCCCATCTGCATTGTCTTGATTGGTGCACTCTCCCCGGCATTTGCACAGCTTAGTACACACTTCCTTTTCTCGTCTACACTTGCAAAGTTTTGTGGCGCAGCCTGATTTGCAGCCACAACTTAACAACTGCGTGCATGACTCAGGTGCCACGGGCAAGGTGGAGTACACTGGAGCGTAGTTTCCGTCAAGAATGCGCCAGCCGTATTGGCATGGGTCGGGGAGCTCAGGCTTGGCCACATGAGCACTCATCCAGACCACACACTGGTAGACTGCCCGGAGGATGTGGAGTCGAGCAGCGTCTGATGTCGCTGGGAGAAGTTCGGGACTGGTGACTTTCCCAAAGAGCATATGACGCGCATCGTCACAAGTTAACTCTTTGGTTTTGTACAGCAGCACCAAAAACTGCTCGCACTGTTTGAGAAAGGACTCGTCCACATCTCCACATGTGATACCATCGAGCAATTTGTAGTTCAGGCGGTACACAGCTAGAGCTCCTCTTTTTGCTATGCCTAAAACATGTGTAGAAAAATGAGTTTCTACTGCAGAAAAAGTAATAATAACAATAAAAGTAAAAGGACACAAACCTGCTATAAATGAGTTTGAATCACAGCCCGTCAACGCATGAAATATCAGTATGTTATTTCGTTCACTTTCAGACATTGACGCTGCAACTACATGAATGGGTACATACTTTCTGTCTTTGGCTGTACCAGCCATCATATAGCATTCATTGCATGTCATTCTCTTGAAATGGTGAACGAGCAAAACAAATACATCAGTGTCTCTTGCAGACACTACAACTCTTCTGTGCGCACTGTTTACTGCATGCAGGATAAGGCGTGTATCAGCCTCCTCGTGCGTGGATTGCAAAGAAGCGCAATCCATTTCAGTGTTAGCTGCCACTTTAAGCTCGTCAGCAAAACCTCCAGCAACGACTACTGTAGTGTCCAAGAAATTCGCGGACATTATTTCATTTGAAATAAAAGCCGCTAACTCAGCTTTGTTTTCTTCAAGTGCAACGTAATTAGACCAACTCTTGGGAAGAGGCACTGCCCTTGAGGTTATAGCTTTGCGAATTGGGCGAGCGGATGCAGTCCTCTTTTGTCGCGTTCCAGCTTTGATTGAAAGTTGATTGTATCTGTAATAAGGGTTGATTATTAAAATAAAAAATACAACAACAATAGTTTAAAAATGACTGCTTTGCGATGCCAGTATAAACATAAATAATACGAACCTATCAAAAACTATGTCAACTCTTTGGTAGTGGGCGCTCATATTTTTTATTCTGCTCGTAACTGCATTGGCTAAGTCTCCAAATGTTTGTGCATGTTGTGGTTTGCCAATGCTCATAATAAGTGCTTGCCCGTCAATTATAAGATGGTCACTCCCTCCAGCAGGTAACGTGTTCGGGATTTCAACATTTTCTGTCATGAGTTTCATTAACTCTGCTTTATTTCCAGTACGCATTATGCCATTGGGATGCACAAGAGACAGTGGAACATTGTGGAGCTCATGTTTTAATATTTCTTTTAGGTCTACAGCTCTCCCGGCTTCATATGCGGTAATTAAGCGCTGCAAAATATTCCGATCTTGTTTGTTTGACTTTTTGACAGCAGTATGTTTCGAGTGATCAACTTTGAACAGGTCTTGGAAGGTTGGGGCGGCATTTAACTTCACTCTAGCATAGAGGCTTTCACTTTTCTGGTTACCGAGGCGATTATTTATGAACTGAAAGACTTGCAACGCACCTTGTTCTTTGGCTGTGAGTAGAGATGTCTTAATTTCGTCAGTAGCAACGTCTTTGGTGGCTACATTCTTGAGTGTATTGTCAGGTTCAAAATTAAACATACCGAAAGCTTCCATGGCTTTCATCAGAGAATTTTCGTCGTCTTGATCTCTTTTCTTTCTTCCTGGGTACAGCTCGGCGTGAAGATCTGTCGTCTTTTCCAAGTCATACATTTCATACGTTTTGCTGGATATCGCGGCATGCCAACAGTATGTCAGGGCCCAGCGTTGGAGAGAAGACTGGTCTTGGACAAGACCGATCGCTCCGGAAGATGCTCTTTTCACTTCACCTACTAACCACTCTTGAGCGTGGTCTGGATCTACCTGATTAAAATCTCCAGGGCTGGCTTTTATCACAAAGTCACCCCGTCTGAATGCAGATTCAACCTCAGGCGGCAATGCGTTCATCTCAGCTATGTACACACTCAGAGATTTGAGGTAATTGTGGTGGTCGTATCTAGCCATGTATGGCAACATCTGAGTGAGTGATGACAAATACAAATCCCATTGACCATCTCGTAAAGACCTCGTAAACTCCAATAAAATGTGCGCCATGTCTACATAAGTCATCCAAAATTGTAGCTCAACATTTTCTGTGGATGCCACCCATTCATTTATGTACTGTAATATATCGTTTTGTTCGAAAATTTCTTCTAGACATATTATATCACCTGCTGCTCCTGTCAACCTCTCAGCGAAGTCTGGGTTTACCTCAAGAAGGTACTGCTGAAATCTTGGAAGGATTATTCTCCATAATGCTTGCAATGTGAGTTTCGTCAGTCGCATTCCCTTACTATAAACTTTCCCTTCCATGACCTTTGATGCCATTGTTTCAGCTGCAATGCCACTTTCCACCCATAGCTCTTCTAATCCACTGCCACTCATGTGTTTTCCAATTGCCTTAAGAAAATTTAGTGACAAATGCAGGCCACCCATGCGCAAGATAACTCTCTTTTGAAAATCATCATTTGACCATTTTAGTTCTAGAAGACGACAGTACACTTGCTGGTCGCCAGTCAGAATAACATACTTTTGATTCAGGTTGTCAGCGAGCGACACCGCCCTTCGCAAAACTGTGTTTAAAGTATTGAACTCATGAGCGGGATCTAGTATCATAGGCAAATATCCACAAGATGTAATCTCAGCATTATTAGTTGACATAGTCTTGTTGAATGCAGTCCACCCCTGACGATCATCAGATTGTTGCCGGTTGAAAAAATAAGTAAAATCTCGCACTTTGGCACTACGGCGACTCTCAGAGATTTCTGAAGTATCGTACCATTCTGTTTTTAGCTCTGTTTGTAGTTTTGGTTCAATCGTATTTAATTTCACTATTGTTTTATCTAGTGCCTGGATAGCGTCTGGGATTTTCACCGACTTACGCCTGGAGCGAGTGATGCTGCCGAGAACCTCCTCAAGTGGACGAGCACCTCTCCGGAAGGCTACCAGCTGTGTCCCATGAAAAGATTTTTTTCCATCCAAGGTGTCCAGTTGAATGTCAACATTATCAGCTGTAAGGTGCAGCAGTGCAGAAGATGTTTCTCCAGGTGATAGTTTCAGGTTAGCAGGGATAACAACGCCTGAAAACATAAATTATCAATATTACATTTTTTTCGTTTTGCACTGTGTTCTGCTGGGTGGGTGATCCACATCCTCTTTTTTTCCTGCTAATACTGTAACGGATTCAGGCGTGTGTGTGTGTTTTTTT